TTTTTTTTTCTAAATGGAAAACATATAAATTTAAAAATTTTATTTTCTTTTTGTCTAAAAGTTTTTGTTTTTTAAATAATTATGAAAAATATTTATTTATTTTCTCTTCTAACCGATATTAATATTTATAACTGGATTTAGATATCCACTTTGTCAGCTGATATATGGTATATTTTTAACAACCTAAAAACACTTTCTGGTATTCTTCTTGTGTAAAATAATTAAACAGTTTTTTGAAGTAAGTCTTCACTGAAAATTTTGTTCAGAAATATCAGTGCTCAATATTTGTTGAAAAATGCTTTATTAGTGGTCATTTATGAAACAAAACTGTTGTCGTTCTCTATCCAAATACACTATTTTCTCTTTCGTTATTTTTTCAACTTTTGATTTGATTTTGTGCTACCCAATAAAAATACCTTTTTGGTTTTGCAGTAAACAGCACTATTAGAAGATAATATTATAGAGTATTTTACTAAACTGTTTTTTGATAAACAAAAGTCATACGTAACTATTTAAATGTTAATATCGTCATCAACATTATCATCATCACCTTCATCATCATCAGCATCATTGTTGTCAGCATAATCAGCATTATTATTATTAACCAGTGTAAAAAATGTGGCTTTATTTGTTTATTTATTTATTCAGTCATTTATCCACGTACTAATTTATTATATTATGTATTATTATAAAGGTATAAATATAATGTAAAGTTCTTGAAAAAAAAAAAGGAAAATAAAGAACTAGTTTTTTATTTTTTGAAGAGTGTATCATTGTTGTTCCAATTAATCCTACTTATGCCGCCCACGATTTCTTCTTGCATATTGATATGTAGGTATCCAGATATACAAACAGACATAGATAAATAATAATTTTAGTATTTATTACTCAGTTAAATCATTAACGTCTTAAATTTCTGCGAGGAACTCATAAATTCAGTCAAATTTTCTCACATAAACTAACAGACTAAGCAGCTAAAATTGATGAATCTAAAGAATTTTCTTTTGACAAATTTAAGAATAAAGATGAAGGAAAAAATCAAAACTAAAAAAACAAAATTATATGTGTGATTGTAATCACAAATTTATGTGATAGTTTTTTGAGCGGAAAAATAACGTTAGGGTTACTGTAATTGCGATTGCAATTCACTAATCTCAACAACGCTCCTACAGTTTCACTTTTGTTTGTCTTGGCAAAATGCCTAAAATTTCGGTGACGGTACGCTGATATATTGAGAAAAAAAATTTGTTGCTTATATTCGTTGGTGTCTGAAAAAAAATTAACCAAATATTAATCTTTTTAAAGCAAAATATTAATTGTTTTTCATATAGTGAAAGTTTTTTTTTGTCTATAAGACTACTATTTTTTTCTTTTTCAACAATGAATAATTGTGTTTAATGTTTCAAAAGGAATGGTCAAGAAAATTGTAAAGTCAGTGTAATTGTTATAAATTTGATGCATTTTTTTCTTTCTTTTTTCTTGTAATTATATCTGTCAAAAAAGTTTTAATTTTGTTTTAAAATATGGAACAGGAAAAACTTAAATAAAAAGAAAATAGAAAAATAACTGTTTGTAAATATTTTATATAAAAAATAAAGAAGCAAAAAGAGAAAAAGGAGAAGAAGCAGGAAAAGAATGAAGTAAACCATATTTTTTTGTTCCAATTTTTCTTTCTGAACTTTAACAATGATTTGTGTTTACTGCTTCAGATTGATCTATTTCATATTTCTCAGTAAACAAAAGAAAAAAAAAACTTGGGAGAAAAAATCAAAAAAAAAAACTGACTTTTTTAAGACCGTTTTTTTTCTAATTTTTTATACAGATCTTTTTCTTTTTTTTGCTACTCATTTATTGCTTCGTACATCAACGTCACTGACATCAGTCGACATTTAAACTTCTTTTTTTTCTGTATGCTTAAATTTTTTTTGAATTTAACTAAAAATGAAATGTTGGCACTGTTGAGCACTGTTTTCTAACATCAAAGAAATACAGAAAAGACACATTACAAAAAAAAATTAGCAATAAAATTAGCAGCGATGACATTTTTACCGCACTGTTAATTGTATTTACAAAATTTGAAGACAATAGAAAGTAGAATATGAGAGATAAGTTGGAGGAACGGCAGCT